CCCCACAGCGCGGGGGGCGCCCCCCTCCACTGAGGCTTTGGGGCTGGGCCCTCCAGAGCCCCGTTTCGGAGGCGTCCCCTCCAGCCAGCCGACCTCACCGTAGGAGGAGCAACGCGCCCCCCGCGGGCCACGCCACAGCCCAGACGCATGGGGGCCAGCTCCCAGGTGCAGATCACCCCAGCCCTTGGTTTGTGCTAGTGCCAGCTCTGTGCCGGCCAGGCGGACCCCTGGGCAGCGTTTTGGGTCTTTGTGCCCCCCAGAAAAGCCGCCCATGGCCGGGCCAACGTGCCATCCGAAGCACCTCCCCACGTCCGGTATCCACCGACCACACCCACGCCAGCTCCTGGGGGCCAGAGCCCCTGTGGCCACATGGCCCGGGCCCCCCACAGACAAGCAAGGAACCGACTCTCCCTCCCCGCCCATGGGTGTGCTGATGGGTCTGAACCAGGAACCGGCCCCGGCTCAGTTCCACCGAACTCCAGCGTGGCTTCCCAGCCCTGCTGGTCAAAGGGGAATGCTCAAATTTAACCCCCCGCCCCATGCTGGGCAGCAGCCAGAGGGGCGAGAGGCCCAGGGCTGAGAGCCACTGAGAAGGACCCAGAGGGGAGTCGCCTGGGATTTAACCCACTTTCCCCTTCCCCCTGAGCTGGGGGATCAGACACACGCAGGCAGAGGGGAGACAGGAGCCCAGCACATCTGCCAAGAGCCAGAAATCGGGACAAAGACGGACATCCCAGAAAGGACGTCAACCTCATGAGCATCTGCCTCACGACTACAGTCCCGGCCCGACATCCATCCCCAAGCACCAGCCACCTTCCAAAAGGGTTGGAAGATTTTCCTGGCTGACTCAATGTACCACGGCCGTGACTCCCACATTCTGACATCCCTCCCCTCTCCTCCCCCGAGTCACTCTGCTCAGATCACCGGAGACTTTTCCAAAGTTGGAGAAGTGCTGAAAAGCTGGGAAAGACCAAACAAAACACTCCACACTGAAATCCCAATTACAATGGCTTTTTTTGGGAGGTAATTACAAGTTTGACAAGTTTGGTTGCTAGAGGTGCTGACGGTGAGGGAACAGACTACGGAAAGGTACTTGACTTGGTACCGCACGGCATTTTGATTACAAAACGAGAACAATATCAAATTAACGTGGTGCACATGAAATTGAAAGCCGGCTAACTGAGAGGTCTCCACACTGACGATGAGGGAACAGACTATGGAAAGGTACTTGACTTGGTACCGCACGGCATTTTGATTACAAAACGAGAACAATATCAAATTAACGTGGTGCACATGAAATTGAAAGCCGGCTAACTGAGAGGTCTCCACATGTCATTGTAAATAGGGAATCAGCGTCAAACAGGTGGGTTTCTAATGGGATCCCAAAGGGGCGATTCTTGGCCCGATGCTATTTAACAATTTTATTAATGGCTTGGAAGAAAACATAAAGTCGTCGCTGATGAAGTTGGCAGCTGGCACGAAAATTGGGGACGTGGTAAATAATGACGAGGACACGTCACTCAGACAGAGTTATGTGGGTCATTCGGAAAACTGAGTGCAAGCAAACAACACGCATTGTCATGGAGCTAAATGTAAATCTGTGCATCTAGGGTCAGAGGACGCAGGCTGTGCTTACAGGACGGGGGCCTGTATCCTGGGAAGCAGGGACCCTGAAAAAGATTTGGGGGGCTGTGGTGGGTAATTAGCTGAACCTGAACGCGAGTACAAGGCAGTGGCCAAAAAGCTGATACAACCCTGGGATGTATAAACGGGACTCTCAGATAGGAGCCGAGAGGTTATTTTCCCTCTGTACTTGCCACTGGTGTGACCTATTGTGTCCAGTTCTAGCTCCCACCATTCGGAAAAGATGTGGAGAAAACGAACAGAGAAAGATCAAACATGATCCAAAGTCAGAGACATCAAATTGAGATGGGAAATAAGGTGTCAATTTTTGACATTGTTAAACATTTAACCACTGGAGCAATTTACCTGTCACCAACATTTCAAATGAAGATCCTAAATTCTGACTTCCACAAGCCCCGCTCCAGGAATTATTGGGGAACCCGTCTCTGGCTTGCACTGGGCAGGTCAGAGCAGACAATCGCAATGGTCCTGCCTGGCCTTGGCATCGAATGGGAACGGCCAACAGCCAGCATGTTGAAAACACGGTGCTTTGTGTGCGAAAACCAAACAGTAAGAAAAAAGTCCCAGGGCAGAGCCAAGTCAGATTTCCCTGCAAACTTTTTCTGCCAAAGGAAACATTGTTCATTCGAAATTCTTCGCAGGCAAATTTGGAAATGAAAATTGGACTCAATTTGGGGGCTTTTGTGACCCTCTCAAGGGGGGAGGCTAAAGGAAGCTCGTGTTCCCGGATCCCAAAATAGCATCTCTTTGGTGCTGCCAGGAACAACCAGGCTGCGCGGGAAATACTGACAGCCAGGCAGCTCTGACAGCTGGGGGATGTGACACAGACGGTGCCTGGGGGGACACTGACGGGGGAGATGCAAAGGGTTGGGACCCGCCCGGAGAGTCCAAGCTAGGGCCAGAAGCTTCCAAAGAGCCAGAGATCAGAGGGCAGCAAGACCTGGCTCGTACATGACCAGCTCGGGCGTTAGGTGGCGCGTCTGTGTGTATTTGCCTGCTGCAGACAGCGCTTCCAATGCCGGGCTCCTAGGAGCTCCGGGGCAGAGAGCCAGAGGCTGAGTCTGTTATGTGCTTTGATTGAGTGAGGGGGCTTTCATGCAGGGGTCTATGCCCCCCCTAGGCCTGAGATGGGCAGGGAGCCATCGCCGGGCTGGGGAACTGTTCTCTGCACACACAGGAGAAAGCCTGAGACAGAGGGGTGAATTTCATCTCGACTAGAGTCATCAGACGGGTTTTATTCTTACGCACAGACACGAGTGAGTGGAAGCCCTGTATGTCCAGCGGAGGCGCACGGCAGGGGGGTTGGCGACACAAGGACAGTACGTGCGCCCACGTGTGGCCTGGCGTGGGCCTGCCATGCACGTCACGGGGCCGGGGGAGCGGCCGGCGGTCCCTGGCTTGTGTGCGTGTTACAAGGGGCCTTGCGCGCGGCGTGTGCAGGGGGGACGGGGCGGGGGCAGCAGTGCGTCTGGCTCACTGACAGCACAGGTCCCGCTAAGGAGAGGTCTCGCCGGATCCCACGCTTGCCAGCCACGAGCCAGGGAAGGGCCCTCAGACCACCACGAGTGCACCGCTGTCGCGAGCCCCCAGCGCCCCCCGAGAGGGAGGCCGGACCCTGGGCACAGGGAGCAGGGATGGGCCGCTCCCATCAGGCCCTGTGTGCTCCTGGCAAAGGTCCCCCAGCACAGGTCCCGCTAAGGAGAGGTCTCGCCGGATCCCACGCTTGCCAGCCACGAGCCAGGGAAGGGCCCTCAGACCACCACGAGTGCACCGCTGTCGCGAGCCCCCAGCGCCCCCCGAGAGGGAGGCCGGACCCTGGGCACAGGGAGCAGGGATGGGCCGCTCCCATCAGGCCCTGTGTGCTCCTGGCAAAGGTCCCCGGCAGAGAGCAGCTCTCGGCTCGGCTGCGGCTGAGGACAAGGCTCTGTTCTCGGGAGGCCAGGCCTGGCCCTTGCCCCGCAGCCGGCTCCCACGGGAGCTGCCCTCTCAAGACCCCGCACCAAGGTCCAGCGCAC